GGGCCCTTTGTGGGAAGATCTTGGGGCGTGCCACTCCCCTCGGCCCGCCGCAGCCCCCACCTCCTTGCAGAGGTGCACTCTGAGCCCCTCAAGTGTCCGAAGAAGAACAGCAGCGCGTGCTGGGTCTTGGTTCCTGGGGGCCGTGCCCCCGAGGCCAAGGGTCCACACCCCTCTTCGGGTGGGGGATGTGAGCCAAGCGGCTGGAGTCTGGGGGACAGGTGAGCAGCACCCTGAACCGGGATCCTGGGCCTCGTGCGTCCTCAGCCCAGGACAAGAGGTGCGCGCTCCCCAAAGTCAGCGAGGAGGAAGTGCGGTTTGGGTGGGGTGCGGGCGCCCTTGGCCAGCCTTGGACGCCTCGGGGCCGGAGCGCACCCTGGTAGGTCTTTGGGGATGTGGGTCTCTGCTGAGTGCTGCATGATCTCCAGGGACCACGCACGGGCTTTGGCATCTCTTACCAGTGCAGCTACTAGGCTGTGTGTTTTCTGTATTGTCTGTACCTCCCACTCCTTTGCAAGGCTTTCAGGAGCTGGTCCTTTGATCCTCCTTCCGAAGGAGAGAGAGACAATGCATGGTTTTGGAGGGGCGGAACCCTGGCTCCTTGGGGCGGTGATAAAGCTCGGAGGGTCTATCTCGGGTGCTGGGGGCCCCGGGAGAACCGCATCCCTATTTTGCGTCTCGGTACAGTCAATGCAGCTGAACCTCCTTTGCCCTAGGAGTTGAGGCCCCTTGCAGTCCTGCAGAGCTGCCCCTGGCCCTATGAATGTTCCCCTCAAATGCATTTTATTGCAGCCTAAGAGCAGGTGAAAGAGGCGTTTCCCAGACTGTCCTGGCAGCGTGGGGATGAGGAGGGACCTCCGGTTTCCTTGCTCAGTGCTCTTTAACTCTAACTGGGATGGCAGTTGCAGTCACTGTCACTTCTTCCAGAGCGTCCTGTTCCTGTCCTGAACCACACTCATCTTTATTCTTGTGAAATATAAGGCAGTATCCCCTTTTAATTCCGTCGCAGGACAGCTCCGTGGAGCCCTGCTGGCCCCTCTGGTGGAGGTAATGGAGACGGGCAGGTGAAGCACTTTGCCCAGCAAGCCAGCATCTGCGATCACACGCTGGCTTTTGGCTTGGCATCACTTTCTACCAGCCTCCTGATGCCATAGGGGGATCCTTTAACCTGGGACTTCTCCCTACTCTTCAGTGCCATTGCTATGACAGTGAGACTAGAGAAGCGGGTTTGACTTTCCAAACTACAGCTAAGGTGCCGGACACCCAGATGCATCTCTTTGTGTTGCAGCCTGGAGCACTGAGTTTGCTGAGAGGTGGTCAGCATGGTGTGGATCAGCGTGGTGTGAGCCATCGCCATGCTGTGGAAGACAGAATGGGCTGAACTGGAACTGACCTGAATGTCAGCAAAAGGAGGTACAGTTTGGTGCTTTGCTGCCAGGAAGCCCCGTAGCTGAGGGAGGATGGGCAGGCGGCTGGGCACTGCCCAGCATGTGATTAAGAAGTGTCTGCTTGGAGTTCTGGGAAAGCAGGATATTTTTATGGAAAAAGCTCCCTATTTCTAAATATGGCATCTAATTAAAAACATTTAACATGTACAAGGTGACAGAATTACAGTGGAGGCGGTTTGGTCCCAGCCTGTGTTAGACCTTTGGAAGTACTCACTGTCTTTCTGAGATGCAGTGAAGCAGGACTGGAGGGGGGGTGTCCTGTCTCCTGGAGGTTTTTCCTTAAGAACAAGATCATCAGCGAAAGTAGAGGTGGCTGTCAGTGCTGCCTGCAGTTTGGGGAAGGTGTTGACTTCAGGCCTCAATGTTTTATTTATCCATTTGGTACCTATCTTGCCTGTGGTTCTGGGCCTACCCCAAGAGAACGCAGATGAGCCCTTTTTCCGTCTCCATGGTCACTGTATGTGTCTAGCATCAGAAAGAATGACATTTATGGCAGGTATGTGCAGGGCCCCCCGGGAACACTAAAGGAAGAGTTTTCAGTCTTCTCGGAGCATCGCAGGAGGAAATACATTCGAAGTTTCATTGGAGTTATTATCAAACATTTTTCAAGTACAGTAATCCTTAGAAAAAGACATTAGGATCCCTCCACTTCTCCTCTACTTCCGTCCTCACCTCTGGGGTAACTGCTATAAATGTGCCTTTTTTCTAGAGCTTTTTCAGTGCATAAGTACATGAGCAGCAAGCCTGGAAGTATAGAATATTTTATAAAGTGGTTTATTGACATTATAGCAGGAGACATAGTAAATTAAGATTATCTACACTTCTAACTGCGGGACCAACCTAAAATGATAGA